GAGGACCAAAACAGACAACAATTGTCTGTGGATGACAAAAGGTTTTAGGGCAGCCATAGTCAAAGATATAGTCCATAAAGAAATTTGTTACCTCTGTAGCACACAATAATTTAACATAACAATTGTAATTATTATTGATAATGTACACTATGTCATATCAGAATTATAGGAGTTTCCCTTGATTTTGGAACACATACCAATAACATATTTGTAAACACCATTTCATATTTGACAATGTTTCCTGTGTAATTTTTATACCAAATAAGACAAATTATATAACTTTTGGACTTTAGGGAACCTAATATCTTAAAGGATTAATTAGGTCAGAAAAAGACATAATTTATAATTTGATTTTGGAAAGGTCAGAGGTTTAAAACACTTGGTATCACAGATAATTATAAAATAAGTCATTCATTTGACCAAAGTAATAATTCAAGGATTTTTTTAAAAAAGGTGAAAACCTTCATTCTTTGAGAAAGAAGACTTAATTTTCCAAACAGTATGCCCTAATAAAATAGCATGAAGCCAATTAAATTTGTTTTTCAAAATTTTATGAACTATCTATAAAATTTTAATCTTGAACGTAAGATATAGCTTTCATAAGCCTTTTATAATCTTTATAACCTTTACTAAGGAGTTGGTTACTGCTTCAAGAAAACCTTGTTAATCTGGCATAGGGGCCCATATGCTGGTCTTGCATCTGTGTGCCTTTGACAATAATGATTAATATGTAGAGAAACGGAATGTATTTTATCTCTCAAAATCAGCCCTTATAATCTCACATGCCCTCCCCCCCCAAAAAAAAAAAAAAACCCAGACATACAAATGGCCAAAAAATATATGAAAAAATGTTCAACGTCACTAATCATCAGGGAAATGCAAATTAAAACCACCATGAGAGATCACCTTTCTCCAGTTGGAATGCCTATTATCAGAAAGTCAAAAGATGAAATGTTGGTGAGGAGGTGAAGAAAAGGGATCCTTTACACACTATTGGTGGGAATGTAAATTAGTACGCCATTATGTTAAACAGTATGGGGGTTCCTCAAAAAACTTGAAAATAGAACCACTGTATGATCTTCCATTCCACTACTGAGCATATATCCAAAGGAAAAGAAGTCAGTGTTGAAGGGGTGACTGCATTCCTGTATTTAGTGCAGCACTGTTCAAATAGCCAAGATATGGAATCAACCTAAGTTCCATTCAGTAGATGAATGGATAAAGAAAATGTGATATAGATACACAGTGGAATACTATTCATCCATAAAAAAAAATTAAATCCTGTCATTAGCAACAACACAGATGAACCTGGAGGGCATATGTTAAGTGAAAAAAGCCAGGCACAGAAAGACAAATCCTGCATGGTCTCCCTCAGGTGTGAAATTTTTTTTGTTGTTTTTTTTTTGAGACGGAGTCTCGCTCTGTTGCCCAGGCTGGAGTGCAGTGGCCGGATCTTGGCTCACTGCAAGCTCCGCCTCCCAGGTTTACGCCATTCTCCTGCCTCAGCCTCCCGTGTAGCTGGGACTGCAGGCGCCCGCCCCCTCTCCCGGCTAGTTTTTTTTTGTACTTTTTAGTAGAGATAGGGTTTCACCGGATTAGCCAGGATGGTCTTGATCTCCTGACCTCGTGATCCACCCGTCTCGGCCTCCCAAAGTGCTGGGATTACAGGCTTGAGCCACCGCACCCGGCCAGGTGTGAAATTTTTAAACATTTGTCTCATGGAATTAACAGAATAGAAGTTAGAAGAGGCTGGGGATGGTCGGGGGAAAGGAGATGGGGAGAGGATGCGCAGTGGATACAATGCTCTGGTTACATGGGAGAAGTAAGTTCTGGTATACTAATGCACGGTTAGGTGATTATAGTTCACATAAAGGTATATTTCAAAAAAACTAGAAGAGAGGAATTTGAATGCTCTTATCACGAAGAACTGATAAATGTTTGAGGCAGTGTATATGCTGATTACCCTGATTTGATTGTTACATAATAAGTGCGTTGAAACATCATACTGTACCCCATAAATATGTACAATTATTAGGTATCAATTAGAAATAAAAAAGGATGTGATGACAACAGAAACATCAGTTAGATAAAAATCCATCAATATGTAATGATACCGAACAATAAACAAAACAACGCTTTGGTCATTAGTGGAGTTTGATAGGGCAAGAGTTCTCCACTCAGTAAATAAAGGGAAAGACTCAACTATTTATTAATGTCTGTGTTGTCTGTGTTCCAGGATAACCAAATGATTGATGAGGAAAAAAATCCTTCCTTATAGACAAATTCTAGCTTATAAGTGCAGAGGAATTAGAGAATTAGAAAATCACCAGTTTGTAATTCCTGATGAAATAATAGATCTGGCAACAATTTATAGCCGACACTTGAATTCTTTAGGAGAAGGTGGATGGGGCCTTTGCACTGGATGGGCCATGCTGACAATTGGGCATAAGCGTTTGACTCTGGAAACCCCACTGAAGTGGCGATGGGGTCGTGTGGTAGTAGGGGAAAGCCAAGAAGCAACCCCCATTCCCCGTGCCTAGCAGGAGCACCACGCGGCAGTAGGCACTGCTGAAAATCACTGATGATCGGTTACATATCCACAGATCACCTCTGCCCCTGCAGCAGGCGACGGTCCCTTTTCCGTCCCAGCAGAAGATGAGCATTTGACTCCCTTCAGGGAGTCACCAGGCACAGCCGGAGAAGTGTGCCCTGCAACGCTCAAGGGGAATAAGTGAATATTGAGATACCCCCAGCCTAGCCTTCCACAAAGCTCTGAGAGTGCTGATAGCCAGGCTGTACCCCTACATAGGAAATTCCTCCACAGGATGGTGACCAGACCTAAAGCACAAACACGGGGGTTCTCTAACGAAATGGCACAGTCAGGCCACGCTGCAGTGAAGCAGCTTCCCCGTGCTACTCAGTGTGTACATTATTTCTGTCTAGAAATGCCGTTCAGAGCTTAGCCGAATGATACACTGTGGTGCCTTTCCTTTCTTGGATAACAGTGCAAGTGGCATGAGGCATTGCAAATAGATCCCTTTCCTTCTTCATTTCAGCAGCATTTACCGAGAGTGCATATGGGGTGGTAGATTTCAACTGAATAGGATACCTCACCCATAAGTGCTCTGCCTAACATTAGGCAAATTAGATAATATACATGGTATCAGCTGGAGCCCTTTGGGAGATTTTTATAGATTGAGAATGGTTAAGTTATTTAAAGACGTTTTTCATGTTTCAGATTAACCTTGTTGTGTTGTATTCAAAAGTCATTTTGGTCACTTTTCTGTTCTGCTCTCTGGCTTCCTAAGAAAGATGCAGGCTGGGTGTGATGGCTCATGCCTGTAATCCCCGCACTTTGGAAGGCCAAGGCGGGGGGATCACTTGAGCCCAGGAGTTCAAGACTAGCCTGGGCAATAATGTAGTGAGACCTTATCTCTACCAAAAACTAAAAAATCAGCCAAGCATGGTGACGCATGCCTGTAGTCTCAGCTACTTAGGAGGCTGAGGTGGGAGGATTGCTTGAACCTGGGAGGCGGAGGTTGCAGTGAGCTACGATTGTACCTCTGCACTCCAGCCTGGGAGACTAGTGAGAACCCGTTTCAAAAAAAAAAAAAAAAAAGAAGAATACTTTGCTTAGGCACAGACAATTCCTATGGTAGCAGTTTACCAATTAATACATGTGCCTGAGCTCTATGAAGTCCTTGCCTTGATATTTATTATTTATGGTCACCAGCTTCAGTGGAGCACTTGGCTTCACTTTGCAGCTATTTACCTGCACTTTGTCCATTCCAGTGCATCTCTATGATAATGATGATAATGGTTATTATCATTTCCGTTTATTCAGTGCACCGTATCTGCCAGTCATTGTTTTTTTTTTTTAATGCATTATCTCATTTATCCTTAGTAATTCCTGATACAGGCATTCCTCTTACTGTAGGCAAACAAGATGCAGAAAGGTTGAAGGACTTCCCCTAAGGTGGTAGCACACTAGATAGGGAAAGACCAAGGCGTCTCCTGGAGTGGGATCTAACTTTGCTGTTCTAGGTCTTATCCCTGGTGATCGTGTCCCTCTGCTGCTCTTCTCTCCAAGTCCTCTGTCTTCCTCATCAGCAGTGACTTCGGTATTTCACAGAGAAGGTAGATGCTGCAAGGAGAGAATCCCTTGTTCACACCCGTCCCGTAATCCCATCCTTTCCTTAATTCTTTAAAACACTCTAGTGAGAAAACCACAGGCCTAAGGCCAAGTACATGGTCTTTGACAAGCTGTTTAACTTCACTTGGTCTCAGGTTTTTCATTTGCAAAGTGGGGACCGGAGTGCCTGCCTTCCTGAGCCAGCCAGAGTCATAGAGCACAGCGGTGCTCCTGAGCTCTGTCGTGCTGTGGTGAGAAGGGGTCTGTGTCTGTGGCCTGTCTAGAGTGTGCCGTGGGCAGTAAGCGGACATGATTATCGCCTGTGTCCTCTTTTCCTCCCTCCTTGTGAAAGGGATGGGGGCGGGGTGGGGAACAACAGTCTTTTCTCACAAAGCTCTACATTTGCATCAAAAATGTTGATTTGTACTTATTTGCCTAAGTATCTGTCATACAGATAAATTACAAACTCCTGGGGGACAGACAGGTCCTGGCGTTTTGCTTGGTAATTACCTAGTAATTGCCGAAAAAGTATTGTTAAGTTATAAAATGTACTGATTCTCTAGTCCTGCCTACAGACTTTCTTGAAATTTGATGAGGGTTTATTTTCTTGGAAAATGGAAGTCTCCTGGAGGATACTAACTTAATTTCCCTTTTATCCACAGGCCCTTACGAGGAGCAGTTGCTGGTGATTTTCAAATAAGTGGAATATAGCTTCTGTTTTGTTCTGGCCTCTTTTGCTCACTGCCCCTTAATTTCTGTCAGGAGATTGGACTCATTGGACTGTCATGAAATGCCCCAAGTAAAATGAAAGCCAGCCACTTTGACTTTTGCCTAATAAATCTTTATTTTGTTTTCATCTTCTCTTCAGAAAAGAAAGATGTGACCCAAAGCCTAGAGAACTATACGTCCAAGTGTCCTGGGACCATGGAACCCATCGCCCTCCCTGGCGGCCTCACCTTGCCGCCGGTACCCTTCACCAAGCTTCCCATCGTCAGGTGAGATGGGCCCTGCGGAGCGGGAAAGGCAGCTGCCCTCCAGGACACCGTCCTCTAGTCTGATTGTGAATACAGGTCTTTAGAAGAGCTCCCATTTTTGGTTGGCTATGTATCAGGTTCATTATCTCTTTAAACTGGGAAGCGGCCCTATGACATGGAAGTAAGTATTTTAGAGATGAGAGAGTCAGGGCCAGCGACATTCCGTAACTGCTGCAGTTCCATGCCCACTGAATGGCAGAGTCCCGTCTACACCCAGCCTTGCCTGGTTCCAAAGCCTGCCTTGCGACCACTACACCACAGTGGAAACCGGCATGACCACATCATCTTCTCCTTGGAAACTTTCAGTCATTTCCCTTTCCGCAGGCCATGCACCCCAGCCACACGGGAACAGGGCAGCTCCTTGCCCACACGAGCGCTCGCCAGCTCCCGTCTTTGCTCTGCACGGCCTCTGCCTGGCAGGCTGTCTCCTCTCCCGTCTTCATTCTGTCTGTGCTCCCTCGTTCCTCCACACTCATCCTCAGCCCCGTTTCCAGGACACCTTTTCTGAGGCGAGCTCCCTGACTTTCCGGGGCACCCACTGCTCACCACTCTCCCAGGATTTGCTGCCATGTGCCATCCTTTCTGTGTAACTGTCACTCCTAAGAGTGTGAGATTTGAGAGCAGAGACCCTATGGCACGTGCGAAGTGGGTCCTTGCAGAGGGGTTTTGTTTTTTCTTAACCACTCCAGGCTTAGGACCTGCGAAAGCTTTATTGAACTAGTCTTGTGAGGTGATTTCTGAATTTCTGCAAGATTTGTTTGAAGACTGGAAAGAAACAGTTGAATTTGACATTTTGCTGTTGGTTGGAAGTGCTGTAGCCTTAGGATTCGGTGTGATGAAGATGCTAAGTATCTTTAAAACGCTCTTGGCTTGGCTGTTGTTCCCCAGCTTCACTTGGTCTTGCCATGCCCTGGGCTTTGACTCACAGGCCTGCTGCATTCCATGAATAAGTCACTTAACCTCCTGGGTATCAGTTTGCTTATCTCCCCACTATGCCCCCGCAATTAAGAATGAAAACCCATAGCATTAAGCTATTATGAGAATTCAGTGAAGTAACATGTAAAAGCATGTGTATGGTGCTTAACAAATGTTAGTTTTCTTTCTCCCTGCATTTCTTTGAAGGCAAGTATAGTACTGCCAGATGAAATGGTTTCATTTTGCCAAAGAGTTGTGTGCTCCCAAGAAGTGGGGGCAGAAAGGGTCGCTGTGCATTGCAGCCCCTGGCAGGCCACACTGCAATTTTAAGGCGTTCTGCAGGGCACTGCTGAGATTGTTCATCAGGCAGAGCTGCAAAGAGCAGCATCCAAACGGCGTGGCTGCGGCCTGAGAAGTGGCTCTGGCTGCTCCTCAGAATGTCCAGAGGGACTTGCCGCACCGCTGTACAGAGGGCCCAGGAATGGCGTGGCTGCCCTGCGTGCCCAGTGCTTGCTCAGCACTGATGCAGGCTGTGGAGGGAAGGGCCTTTGAGGCTTTTCTATGACTAAGACTTAGAGCCGAACGTATTTGACTTGGGATTAAGGGCATGATTCATTTTTTAAAGATTAAGGCCTAGAAAAGCCTTTCTTAATAATTTTATATTTACATCATGACTTGAATCATTTTTAAATTTAGAAAACCTTGCCTAGTAGAATGTTATGAAGCTTACAGAACATTCTGGGTGTTTGGTGCTGTGTGTAGATATCCAGGAGCTCAGGCTTCTTGTCCCTGAAGCTGGGGATGATTGGTCTTTGCAGGTCATTGGAACCAAGGAAGGAGCATGCTTGTTCTCCTCACAGCCCGCCAGGCAGCCCTGGAGTGAAGCGAGAGGCTGTGGGTTCACCCCCACTTGTGCATGGCCTTGGTAAAGAAGCAGCCTCTTTACACTTCGTTTTCTTCATCTTTAAGCGAGGCTTAAAAATTGCCCCACACAGGGTGGTTTGGTTTTGTTTCAGCTGAGCAGAGGCACACGAAAGCACAGAGCACCATGCCTAGCGCCTGGGAAGCGCTCAGTACGTCTTAGTTTTCTTCTTGGAGATGTTTTTTCACCTGTGTTTTCAAACAGCACATTGAAAAGTACTGTAACATTCACATCTTGGTCCCTCGGCTGTTAAAACATTAGAAAAGACAGATTGGGTGAAAGTATAAAAGTATAAAAGTATAAAAGTCTACCATTTGGGCGCTGTTTTCCAAATCTTCTGTGAGCATGCCTTTCCTGGGCAGTGCATCTCTTTCACTGTTAGGGTCCTGTGGCCCCTATGGCGGAGCTCCCTGCAAATAGCTGAGTCTTGCCTGGCATCCTGGTGCCATTGCTCTTGCCTGGTGTGGTCATGGACTGTGGTTTTTTTTTTTGGAGGGGGATATTGTTTTGCTCTGTTGCCCAGGCTGGAGTGCAGTGGCATAATCTTGGCTTACTGCAACCTCCGCCTCCCGGGTTCAAGTGATTCTTCTGCCTCAGCCTCCTGAGTAGCTGGGACTACAGGTGCGTGGCACCACAACCAGCTAATTTTTGTAGTTTTAGTAGAGACGGAGTTTCACCATATTGACCAGGTTGGTCTCGAACTCCTAACCTTGTGATCTGCCCGCCTCGGCCTCCTCAAAGTGTTGGGATTACAGGCGTGAGCCACTACGCCCGGCCATGGGTTGTTTTCAAAAATCTGATTTTAGGTATGACCCACCATCTGTGTAAATATATTCGTGATGGTTTTCTGAAGACTTTAGCTAGAGAAGTAACCCCTAAGTGTCCTGGGGACTCCTTCATCACGTGGATCGTACCTGGTCTCGTTGAAAACTGGGAAGAAGAACTGCCTGAGATTCAGTGTGGTAAACCCACGGAACATCAGCACAACTGGTCAAATGAAAGGGAATGTCTTTGGAACATTTGGAGAGCCGGAATATCTCGTAGCCTGCTCTGCTTCCCACCGTTTAGAGAACAGACTCTAATGTACTTGCTTTGCGTGGCTTGCAGGGCCTCTGTGGCCTGCCCTGTCTCCAGACTTGATTGTGAGCCCCCTATTTCCCTGGTCCTGCGCTCCTGCTTTCCCTTGTGGAACTACTTAGAGTGGGCCAAATGTGTGCCCGGTTTTGTTCCTGCATTTAGGCTTTATCTCTGGCTTGGAATACCTGTGCTTCCCTGTGCTGCCTGACGATACTTAGTCATCTTTCACGATTTTAGTTCAAGGATTCTGTCCTCTATAAAGCCTTTTCTGGAGCCACCCAGGTAGAAATGACGATATTGTCTTTGTAAGTTAGGAATTATTTCAACTGTAAAGGACAAAAGACCTAGTAGTAGATAGTCAATAGGAAGTTATTTTTCTAGTCTATTAAGAAGCTGGAAACAGGTGGCCTCTCTGTCATTCTGTCTCTACCTCATGATTACCAGATGGCTGCTGCAGCTCCAGACAACACATCTACATCCCAGGCAGAAAGAAAGGAGAAGGGGCAGGTCTAGGGATGTCTATCTTTTGCTTAATAGGGAAGCAAAAATGTTCTTGGCAGATTCGAGTAGGCTTCTGCCCCCATCTCATTAACAGGCAGTGTCTCATAGCCACCTCTAATTGCAAGACAGGCTGAGAAAATAAATATTTAGCTTTCCTAGAATCTGTGATATAGGTGGGGAATGAGAATGGGGTCAGAAATTGGTGCTTGGTCAGCCAGCCAACAGTATATGCCATTATCTTCCGTGGCGCTTATGGAACTCAACTGTGCATCTTTGTTGATATTTTGGGTCCTTCTCTCTTCTGTGTCTTTGTAGCCCCCAGGTGACCTTGTGTGTTGAACGAGTAAATAGTTGGATCCCTTAGAATATTTTGTAATAGCAGCTGATAGAAACCAGACTAACTTAGGCAAAAATAATTTATGGCACATGTACCTGGAAAGTTCAGGGAGGAATTCAGGTAGGGCTGGAGTCAGGGCTCAAACAACCTCATCAAAACTTGGTTTCTTTCCTTCTGAGCTCTGTCCTCTGCAGTATTGGCTTTAGTTGCAGGCCCCAGGTGCTATCAGAGTGGCTCATCAGCTCCAGGCCTCACATCCTCTCACTACTGTGTCCAGGAAAAGAGAGCAGGTGCCTTTTAGTAACACCTGTAAAGGAACACTGCTTTCTTTCAGGGGGAGAATGTCCTTTTGCTTTTCACTGCCCCTCATGGAGTTATGTGCTCAGATCGAACTGAGTCCCTGCAAACCACATGGCTGCAAGGAGACCATATATAGTTCCCCTAAAGCAAAACCTAGGAATAGTGGCACAGGAGAAGCAGCAAGTGGATGTTAGGAGGCAACTGACAAGGACACAATAGCAAATGACACCCAAGACTCACTCATCCCACCACACTGCTCCAGATCAAAAGTCCTGGTTTCGGTTTGTGACTTGTAATGCTTATGAGTCAAGATGATGCATTGATGAATAGCTGCCCTTCCCAAGTCAGAAAGCATACCTTGGAAAAGCACAACCTTGAAGCGAGTGCACGCTTTATGAACTGCATGTTCTCTTCCTTGGAATTGTGACACTTTCTGACACAGAAGGCTGGTTATATGCTTCCATTCTTACTAATAAACAGGCTCGTGTTTTATATGAGACTAATTTTCACCTGTAGATAAAAATGTGCACACTGTAATGTGCTGGCCAGATTAGCTTTTCATGCCCTTCTCCTAAGTTTTTGCCATTTGAAAGTAGGGAGAATTAGGACAGATGTGATGTCCTTGCTCCATAATTCTTTTTTTTTTTTTTTTTTGAGACAAAGTCTTGCTCTGTTTCCCAGGCTGGAGTGCAGTGGTGCAATCTAGGCTCACTGCAACCTCTGCCTCCCAAGTTCAAGCATTTCTCCTGCCTCAGCCTCCTGAGTAGCTGGGACTACATGTACGTGCCACCATGCCCAGCTAATTTTTGTATTTTTAGTAGAGACAGGGTTTCACTATGTTGGCCAGGCGGGTCTCAAATCCCTGACCTCGTGATCTGCCCGCCTTGGGCTCCCAAAGTACTGGGATTG